ATAAAACATTAGCACAAAACCGAAGGCTGTTATGTTTGCTCAACAATCTTTAACGCTCAAGTTATAAAATGGTGTTAAGAGGGATAAAAAACGTCATCTTCAAAAATGTTGCCCCCCACCCCTTCCCAAAGAGCGGCCAGAAAGTAAGGAAAGTCTCTCAATGAAATGGTTATTCAAAGAAAAGGTGTCACTCCAAAGCTAGTAGAAGTATGAAAACACCAGGTAACTGAGGAGACAGGCGGATGAGACCTGTCCCGCTTGCTGGCTGCACTCCCAAGGGGTGAGCGAGGAAGATTGGCTTCCCATTTGTAGGCGGTTAGAAAGAAGTGCGAGATGAATTGGTCTGTCCGGGCTGAGTTCCCAGGAAAAGGGTGTCTTTCATACCAAAAGATACCACCCAAACTGGCAGAGTGCTTCAAGCCAAAGATTTAGACAGTCAAATAAGTGCTAATTGAGTTAGAGGTTTGGTTAGGAAGTGGGCTGACAATTAAGTTTGGGGAAGGCGCTTTAATGGCCCAACTACCAGCATTGGGAGGGTTGGTGAAGCTCCACAAAGCAGAAGGTGGTTTCCAGTCTACTCCTGGGACTGATCAGCACTCCTGCCTTCTTCAGCTGGTGCAAGTGTGAGACACCACAGGGATCAGAGTCTCTGGTGACAGCAGCAGAGGAAGCCAGGAGGTGGATCCCGAGGATGTAACTGTTCCCAGGATTCCACCAGATACACAGGTCTGCAGAGCCACAACGGGGTGCTCCAAGCAAAGAAAGAATTTAGTTCTTCAAAGAGGACACCAGTCAACTGCTTTTATTCTACTGCTTTCTGTAGCCAAGTTCCTGGCAAGTTTTTATAGCCAAGTGTTACTACTGTAGTGGTTTTATTTAGCAAACACTTTCCCAGGGCTTGACTATTACAAGGCACTGTTCTTAATGCTTGGCGAATGTCACCTTACTGAAATCTCACAGCAACCCTCTGAGGTAAATATCAGTATTATCACCACTTTATGTGCGAGGAAACTGAGGCACAAAGATCCTCAAAAACCAGTAGGAGGCACATCTGGTGTTCAGAAATGGTGGAAGAGATGTCTGAGTTGAAATGGATGAAGAAAGAAAGGAAGCGAATTTTTATTATTTTCCTTGGAAGGATGGAAGATATATAAAATCCCAAGAGAAAATTTAATAGGTCTCTTCACTGCCCCTTTCCCACAAGTGCCAAAATGAAAGCCCATTAATAAAGCTTAAAACTAAAATTTAGTACAGATAAAAGCAAGTCCTCATTACCCAACATATAATTAACTGGGGAATTCACAGCTGTGGGACTTTATGGGGAAGGATGAGGCTTGCCGATTCAGGCTGCTGATTTTCAAACAAGGTGTTAAAACCAAGCAACCCGACCCCTGCATTTGCAGTTTACCCACTGACCGCTCTTCTCCAGATGAGGGTGGACAGTGAGAAGTCTAAACTTGGAAAACATACCCGAAGTGGCTTATGTATTAAGAAACCTGGTTTCTTCACATTCAACCCCCACCCCCCACCACCACCACCACCAAGGAAAGACTGTTCAGCCTCACACCACTCACAGACCTGTTCGGAAATTCTTCCTCACTGCCTTCTACCCACCTGCAGACATACCTTTCCACAAAGGCCCCTGACTGTGGACACCATAATTCCCCGTCTCTCCCTAGGGCTGGTACCTACCGGCTCCTAGAACAGCCCCACTGAAGACTTGGGGTCCCAGATCACTGTTTTCTTAAATTACCTTAGTTCTCTCCAACTGGCAGGATCCAAGCAGCCAACACCCCCATTATCAGAGAGCTAGGCTGCTCTGTTTGCCTAAACCCAAGGACTAAACTTTCTACTGTCTTTTGCTAACCCACATCCATGGATAGAGCCTAGAATTCAGGATCATTCCACTTGTGAATTTTGAATTCCAAATACCATTTTCTCTAAGCATATCCTTCCATGTTTCTCAGTCTCTCAACTCCCATCCGCTCATGGATTTGACCTTTCAACTTCTAACTTACCTATTAACCCCTTTTCCCTTAACCCTTCTCAGCACTTCCAGTCCCTAGATTGACCACATGCTCCTCCTCCTTTCACTCTGGGGCACTCAGATAGGAGCGGAAATATGCCAGGTAACTTTGGAGATTGATGACACTATTGAAAGGCACAAAACTTTGAAAACAGATCTACAGAGTTATACTGTTTCCAGGAAACATGATTTAATCCCTGGCCTCTGGCAAGAAGTAACTAATTAGCTCAAGACCCCCTACCTCACTCCCGCTTAGCCCAGGTGGATAACAGTATTAGGCTTCAGATAACTTGGACACAGTCCAAATTCTCTCACTACTATAAGCACTCAGGTTTAACCAAGTCAGTTTACAATTCTAAGATTTTATTAGATGCAATGCTGCGGAGTTAGCAATGTTCAATATTTTTCTTCATTTTAGTAGCATTTGTTTGAGAAGAATTTACCTACACTGTTAAGTAATGTGCTTAATGATGGGGTCCAAGGATGGTAATGAAACAGAGGTAAAAGACAAGCATTACTTAGCTGCAAGCCTAAATCACAGCTTCAAAGAGTTAGGGAAGGGCCTGAGGGCTTATAGTTTAAAAATCCTTTTTACTTGACACAATCACTTAAAATCACAAAAATAACAACAAAAAAATCCCCACCCTCCTCGATCAGTAGCAATCGCTCTTTCTTTCCAAAATTAACCTCTCGTTTCAGATACAACTGATTCTTTTTGCTTCATTGAGTAGATCATAATAATAGCTTACGTATTTGATATTTTCCCACATTAACAATGTGTTTCCACATACACAAAGAATTCCACCCTTTAGCATCATTAAACAGTACATGTTAGCCATGTTTCTAAAATTATCTTAATTCTTTCCATCTTAAGGACAATATATAAATAGCATTCACTATTTCTTAAATTTGCAGAATTCTTTTATTAAAAGTCAAATATAGGTCTTATAATATCCAGTGGCTGCTCGACTTTTGATCATTCCCTCTGGGATTTTGACTTGTTCCTAAAGGGAGGTATCTGGAAAAAAAGTCCTACAGATAAGTTTGCGTCTAAGTCACAAAATAGGTGCTGCTATCTCCGGGTGCAGGAGGCTTAACAGTGGCCTCTCTGAGCATTGTTCCTATGCAGCAAACACCAGCAATGGTCTCTAACAGCTGTGGAAAGGAACATACACCACTCAAAACTAGAACAAGTAACTCATTTGTAATTTGTAAACCTGCTTCTCGCATCACCTTTGATTTCTAATTAAAGAATACACAGCTCACCCCAAAGTGGCTTTGGTGACTTTTCATTTGCTTTGCAGAGTCTGGGGAAGGGGCTGGGACAAGGGTCAAACAACTTTATCACTCTGGCTTTTGGCAAACTCAGTTTTCAAAGGGGGATGAGAGTCCCCCATCCTGTGTGCTTCTCTGGACTGAAGTGGGAAAGCACACATGGGGGCACTGACTAGAGCGGGAACTGTATCAAGGGGAGGGCAGGGCTGGCGGAGGCCCAGAGAGCTTTTAGACAGGAATAAGGATGGGGCTGACACTTTACAGCTTGGAGCTTGGCTTATGTAAGGCATTTAGTAAACATTTAATGAGCAAATGCACTCAGGAATAAACAAAGATGGCACTTTGATATTGCCAGAGATGATTTCATAACATGAAACAATTTTGTTCCAAAAGGTAGAAACTCTTTTGAAGACTCTGAAACAACCAAATCTCATGTGGTCACCAGAAATCTCTCTGGAAAGCAGAGAGGTCAACTCTTGAAATCAGGCATGTTCAAAGACATTTTCCTTAGAAAACTGGTCAAACAACTGACATTATCAGCTCCACACATCAAGAAATTCACTTTTGGGGGAAAAAAAACATGTAAAAATTAAGCTCAAGTGCATCTATGCAAAAGCCTGGTCTACCTATCAAAACAGTCCTGTACACATAATAGTACACTACTAAGGACTGATGGGATAGTCTTCAAATATTAAAAAGAGGAAAATCAAAAGTGTTGACCATGTCACAGGAGAAACTGTTGAAGGAATTGGGTGGGTTTACCTTTTTAGAAAAAAAAAGCAAACAAGCAGGAAAGAATGCGACAAAGAAAGAAAGAGAAAGAAAGAAAGATAGAAAGAAAGTAAAAGAGAAAAAAGATGAGACGTGAAAATGTGATACCCTCTAAATTCATTTCTGTTAATACCAAAGAGGAACAGAATTATTCTAACCAGCTCCAAAAGCAACACGTTAGGTAGATTAGCATTGTGAGGATGATGGTATGAGCAGCTGAACCTGCCTGGGAATGAGATGAGTTCTTTGGGTGAAGTCACCTTCCTTTTATGGTACCAGATCACAAGGGAAAATAAGAAGCCAGGTCAGATTGCATCACGCACCTCACCTGTTGACTTTCCATTAAAGAATTTGTAAAATCTTCTCCCCAGTTACCACCCAGAAAATGAAGAGGACCAGTGTCAGAGGCCAGCTGAAGGAGGCTCCAACTGGCACAGAGTCCACAGCACAGGGATTTTGCCATTACTTAAAAGCTGTTGGGTGAGAACCAGGTGGCAGACACAACAAGGACTAAACTCTGCAGAGGGTCCCAGCTTTGCAGCTCACAGCACACAAAACTGGAGCTCTTCTTTGCCCAAACCACAATAAATACTTCCTGAATTAAAACACAGGCAGAAATTGAAGTCAGGCAGAGTGAAGTGGTGAGATCTGCCCTCCCAGACATTTCTAAATATGCCAGAGAAACTTTCAACCACATGTTAGAACTTTATAAATTATGTGTAAACATGACCTCTGAAAAAATGCCAGGGTCGATGCAGCTGAGAGTGACTTAAGTGAGTCATAGCTGGGACAGTCATTTTCAAACTCTGCATGCAATTTTCCACATATTTTCCAAAATAAGCAGTGTAGTGAATACGCACGGCCCAGACTCCTCCTGCCAACTTCCCACTTTCCCACTGCACACCACCCTCTTTGTGAAAATGCTTACCTGCTTCAGGATGTCCCACATATCCTTTGCTCCCTTTTTTTTCCCTCTCCATCTTTCACTACTAGAATTTCCATAAATCACGCGTGACATTCTGTAGGGAAAACACAAAGGGGAAAAGAGCAAAAACCTGCCCACTGTGTCATGCTAATTTTAATTTCTGCCTGATATATTGACTCCCACAAATAGAAAAGTCATGGGCAGTTCAGTGAGCATAACTAGGCTTTCTTAATTGCAATAGCATTCTGATCATATACATTAAATAAATAAAATGTGTGTTTTCAGGTGAGAAAACCAAAAACTATTTGTTTAGGCAACTCCATAATAAGGAAGCTATCACCTTATTTTGAAATTCTGTATCATTTTTAATGTTTTATTATTTTCATTCGCTTTAAAATAAAAAAAAATTTAAAAATAAGGGAGCTGTTCAGATCTCTGTTTTAAAGCTGAGGAACATTCAAAGGTTGTACCAGTTATACAGTGAGCAAGGGAGGAAAATGAGATTCTAGCTAATCCATTCACTCTGAAGATCAAGCATTTACTCATTAGATACCTTGCAATCAACCCACAACTGTTTTAAATTCAAGGTCTTGTCTGGCTCCTATCATTTTATTGTCTCTTCCATGTAAATGATTCTCTAATGTTGTTCTCTGAGGTTCCTTGAGACACCCTGGTCTTGGCATTTCCACCACATGCCTCCTCAAAACATCTTGATAATTCCCTGTGAGTTCCAGAATGGAAGTCTTTCTTTAAACTATCACTAGCGACCTTCAACATGACAGTTCCACCCCAGTTCCACAGTTGCTGTCCATCACTTTTCTTGGTTTTGAGTGAACGGGTTTTGTGAGCCCGAAGTAGAGACACATATTCTGACAAGGGAGTTTTTATTGTAATTTTTGATTCACAAATGTACTTGAGTGAAAAGATAGCAAAAGCAAGTATTTGAAATTAAGACGACCTGCCCTTTTGGATCCCAGACCAAAGTACTGATTCTTTCTAGAATATTCTTCCTACTCTCAGTCTTTGTTCTCATTGAAGATGTCAGAACCCACAGCCTCTTTCAAAGCCAGGGTCTCTTTACCACCCAAATGATACTGTGGCTGACCCTCCAAGCAGAAATTACTGTCTTCCTCTCACACTGTGTGCAGGCTTACCTGCTCAGAACTTTGTAATTAATGAACTTATGGCCAGGTATGTCCCCATGCTGGATGGTGAGTTTAGGGAGGATTTCGATCAGGTCTTTCCACTTTTACTATCCATTTATAAACCCTGGGTAATTTGTGAGTATTGCTAAATAAATAATGTTAAGACTCCTAGGTCATAAATTGATATTTGATCATGAAGTTCTATAAATCATTGAATTTATCTTTTACAAGTATAACTAATTTCATTTTTTTAATGCAGAAGTTGAACTTTCAATTTTTTTACATCAACATCCATTTCTAACAAATCTCTTTCTTACAAATCTCATAAAATGGTGAAAAGGTCTTGGAAATTTCAACACTACTAACAGAAGCTACTGAAATTGACTTTGTCAGACAGTAGCTCCTGACTTTGGTTCAGAAACAAGGGCTGAGGTAGCAGGGCATGCTTACTAGAAGAACACATCATTTTACTGCACATTTCTCATTTCTGAGTGGCACGGAAGTCCCCAGACAGACAAGAAAAACTCCTGACAATTCCTGAAGGTCTTTATCCAGTATCAATATCTTTTTGTCCTAATTAGATATTGCCCAGCATGAGAACAAAAGCCATGTTGCCAGGATGTTTCCCATTGCTGATCTATCAGAAGAATCCCCTTCTGAAGGATGGGACAGGTCACCTGTGATTCCAAGTGCCAGTCAGAGGCTCCAGTGCCAAAGGTTAATTAAATATCCATCTCTCACCCAATTCTGTCTCCTCTGTTTCTCTCTCTCTGCTGTTGCTGTCACACACAAAGATGCTTCCAGGTTCTGTGAAGGAATTTAAGGAGTAACTTTTGCTCCAGCTCAGAAATTGCGGGTGAGGAGCAGAAATAGCTTGGGATAAGGAGAGAGTTGGAGAAATACTTTAGTCCAAAAAATCCCAAAAGGCACACAATGTTTCCATAGATACAGCCTACAGAGACCCCAAAACTAAGAGCTTAAAACCAGATCTAAAGTAAAACTAGCTATTTACCAATTTAATAGTAATAGCTTCAAATTTGTGTTTAATTTGAGGAGGGAACAAATAACACTTGGTAGTTTCCAGTCTGACAAAATGTTTGTGCTTATACAGAGTGAAGTCTGTAACAACCTGGATTTTATTTAATTTCTGTACATTTACAAAAGGTGGTTATCACAGGTATCCTTCGTTTTGGGACAGTATATTCTGTGGCATGGAACTAAGGGTATATTTGCATCTGTTTTGATATCACCTAGTTACCATTAGCTTGGTGGAATTCCAATTTATCCAAGAATATTATAATGAATCAGCATTCTTGGATAGTGCTCAAAGGGCCTGATAGTCCACCTTGACATAGTAATAAAAATTATCATTAACTGGTTGATTATTCTGGGTCAGGCACAAAGCTAAGACTACTATATGCATTCTCCTATCTAATCATCCAACCAACCTTATAATGTAGAAGAATTATTATCATTCATTTGTTACAGAAGAGGAAACTGAGGCACTAGAAATTAATTGGGTGAGACTGGAGAGAAGGAAATGGTACTACTAGATACCTAACTCAGAATTCAGAGGTAAAATACATAATCAGCGTGTTATACCTCCTTCTTAAACAAAACTTACAAAGTGTTTAAAACTATGAAGTTATAATACCTGCTCCTGGTGAGAATGAAAGTAAGAATACTCTCATCACTGGTGGAAACGTCACTGGATACAGCTGTCTCTAAAAGCAAAGTAAGAACATTTCCTAAATTAATAGTTCATATAATCTTTGATCAAGTAGCCCTACTCTCAGGAGGCAGTCTTTCAATTATTAGCAATAATCATGTGCCTATAAATCCATAAAATAGAGAAGGGTATAATATGAACTCAGTCCACAAGAAAAGTATTGAATGAACTATGTCTAGTTGTACCATGGAATCCTACACACTGCCATTAAAAGGAATGAGGTAGATCTACTTAGTCATGTGAAAAAATTAAATTATATCTAGATGTCATTTTTATCTTTAAAAATTAAAATTTTAGGGCAGCAAGCATGTTCTTTATGATAATATAATGGTAGAAACATGTCATTTTATATTTGCCAAGCCTCAGAGAATGTGTATGGTACATCCATGGGCTTATATCCGGAGTGATCCCTAATACAAATGGTGGAGTTTAATTAACAACAATGTGTTCTGTTGGCTCATCAGTTGTAATAAATGTACTTCAGTAATACAAGATGTTAACACGAGGGAAAATTGGAGGAGGTTATATGGGAACTGTATTTCCAGCTTACTTTTTCTATGAACCTCAAACTGCTCTAAAAAGTAGTACTGTTAACAAAACATGATCAGAGAACACTATATATTTATTTGAGTATAGATTTAAATATAATAAGCACAGGAAAATTGCAAGTTAAACCTAATTGCCGAGTTAAGGAGGGCAGAAGTGGATTAAGGAGTAAAGCAAACAATGGAAAATGTTTGTCCTAATTCTTAAATTTGCAAAATGAAAACAAAACAAAACAAAAAAATATAGATAGAAATTCTATGAGTAAATCCATGTAAAATACTATGTGTGTCTGCTTATGTAGAAAAATGAATTGGACAACTTCAGGGGGGACTTTTTCCAAGAGCGTTCAGAATCTTCAATTCTATCACTTCATAAATGCTTCATTCAGTAGCCAAGTGTCATTTTCTTCCGCTCACCTTCAAGCCGGGACAAAGGACTTCTAATCGGGAACAGACTTTCGCTAAGCAAGGAGTTCCAGCTTCAGAGAGAGCTTTTGTACCCGAAGCAAACACTGACTGTGAAGCTGCTAGAGGTACGTAGCTTCCGTCGTCATCACGCCGTGCTCCTTTCTCCTTCTTTCCAGAGCCAACACAAAATAATGAGGCGGGCTGTACGAGAGCCTGAGAAGTTCTGCTGGCAGTGAGGTCAGAGCACACGACCGGGACTTTGCAGTCCTTTCCTTCAAACGACTCCTGCGTCACACACACACACGCCACCGCCGCTGCCAAGGCGACAAAATAGAGACTCCCCACCAAACGAAGCACCTTTATGACACCTCATACAGCGAGATATAAATAATTTAATTCACTTTGAGCGACTGAAATCCTGCTTGACGCTACTTGAATAAGGACCCAGAAGTCCCCCTGCTCCTAAATGCGGCCTTCTCGCAAGCTGTTGGGCAACAGGTTCCACACCCCTCAAGGGGAAATTTCCAACCGTGTCTTGCAAGCTCCATTTTCCTCTAATTAAAGCTAATCCCTATTGCCTTCTGGTGGCCTCTGAGGGCTGGGTATAAGGGTTACCGTGTCCTCTGCCTGCCTAGTCAGACAGTTACAAACACTGCCCGTGCCACCCGTGTGCGCCTTGCTGAACCCCAACAGGAAGGAGAGCCGGAAGCAGCCAGGGTCTCCTCGACAGGGTCTCCTTGATGAAACGCAGCTCTCAATTAGTTGCCCCTGCAATTTTCACACCTGGGCCTCTCGAGCTTTGCCGGTGCAGGTGGCCTAATACAGGAGTAATTAGTTCCGTGTCATTAATTATTTATATGGAGCTTATCACCCTGGGTTGGCAGTTCTTGTTGACTCAAAACTGCAGGTGCACCTGCGAGGAGAAGTGTGGCGAGCCGTGGTGCCGTCCCCGAGGCTGAGGCTCAACTGCGGGGAAAACCACGTCATTCTTAGCAACCGCAGCGTTTTGAGCGTCCGCAAGTCACATAAAACGCCGCAGTTGCAGAGGTGATTGTGTGTGCTCCTATGAAACTCTATTCTTAATATGTATTTGACAAGAACACCGTCAGGGAATTAGAATTCAAGGCCCCTGCCTTAGCAATGAGATGGAATCGGTCTTGGTGAATTCAAGCTTCTCTGCTAGCACACCACCGGAAACTCTCCCCATTAACTCCAACTGCCTTGGGACATTCCTGGTGAATCTGATTTTAGTGCTGTTTTTCAATGCTTGTCTTTCCTACCAACTCCATCCTCTATCCCCTGACTTAATAAGCAATTGTGGTAACAAACTATTTCCTGAGAGACATGTTGTCATTTGGACTCTAAACCCACCAGCCTCCGTTTTCTCACATGATGCTTAATTCCGTTTTAATTCCACTTACTTATTTCTCCAAATGTACCCTTTAAGCTACCCTCCAAGCCAGTGACCCAGTTCCTCCTTTCTGCCATCACTCACCACAGCAGGTGAACCAGGGTGCTCGTGGGAAGCCCTCGATCTTTCTCCAGCGTGCATTTCTAGCAACTTCCAAATGATGCCATGGTTCAGGGTCACTTTGAGTCAGAGGCCCTCAAGCACAAGTGTGGAGGCAATTTCTCCCTCTTTGTGGAGCACCCTGCCTGGGTGGCCTGCAATGATCGGCCTTGAACCCTTTGTGAAAAATTGACCCACCCAGTCCTGTGTCACCTGACCCTCATCTGTGTATTATTTACTTCGAATTAATTTTCCATTGCATCCCTGTGGGGTTATTTTCTTGCTTTGGGAAAATCCTGTTGCATATAAAATAAATTATATGTTGAGAACTCCAACAGCTGAGGAAGGGGACTGCTCGAGTCAGAGTCCATAGAGGGAGAGCTCCCTCAGCAATCAGCCCTGGTGTTCCTCAGAAGGTTGGTAGATATTTACATTCTCAGTCCCACTGTGGACCTCCAAAATAAGAAGTTCTGAGGGGGGCACAGACCCTTCTGTGATTCCAATACAAGCTGACGTTTGAGAACTTTGCAAGACTTAGTAAAAATTGAGGAGCTTTTGCATTCATTCAATTAATCTATAATCATGGATGGCAACAGTAAAGCCAATTTAACCCTGGTTTGGAAGCTTGGGGTGTTCATCTCTACTTTGCCATGGGCTACCTTGGACTATTTGCAGTACCTGTACACATCTTTCAACTTGGGAGTCGGTTCCCTCATTACTAGGGTAACTACAACTTACCATTTACACCAGAGTATCTGGAGAATAATGAAATTGCTATTACACAGGACTAAGGGCTGACGCAGGTAAACTGAGATACATGGACTTTACTCTTTTGGAAAACAGAGATTGGTCTGAATAGGATAGAGATAGCTTCAAAATGTGGAGTTTTCACATCAGAGACCATAAAATTTTCAAGTGGGAACCTAACATGACTATCTCCTTTTTTTGTGTGACTCCACATCTGAAGATAAATTATTATGCCACTTGAAACTATCATTACATTTTTAATTCTTGTTTAACTGAAAAGTATATTTGAAGCCAGGTGTGACAGCACACATATGTGGTCCCAGCACTCTAGGAGGCTGAGCAAGGAGGATTACATGTTTAAGGCCACCCTGGGTACCTTAGCAATTTAGCAAAACCCTGTCTCAAAAATTTAAAAAATTTAAAAGGCCAGGGTTATAGCTCAGTTGTAAGGGTCCTAAGTTCAAGCTCCAGTATCACAAAAAAATAAAATAAAAAAACATATTTGAAGCTGTGTATCAATTTAGGATATAAAATGACTAAAGCTTGAAAATCCAGATGTTGTTAAATCCTCAGTACAAAAAGAATGCCAAATGATAGTTTAAAACCATCTTCACATGACTGCTGGGAAATCAAGCAAATGAGAGGCATTTATTGAGCACTTAATGTTCTCATAATAGTGGTTCATAATAAATGAAACTTTGCTTTTTAAGTTTCATGGATTTTTATTGTGTAAATAAATAATAATCCTGCCACTGCAAATTAGAATTTTATCCCAGGGCACAATATGTGTTCATACTAGTTACGCCTAATGGTATCACTTTGTAACTACATTCTACCATGTTGCTTTTCCCAGGTAAAGGACCCAAAACATTTTATAAGATTTGAAACTAACTTTACTCTTCAAGCTTTGAAGATATGTTGGTAAGTAGCAAGAAGCAACAAGCTGAGCTCAATAAGGAAGTCAAAATTGTCAGGTCCCCAGGAATTCAATTCAGAGCTGTGAATAATCATTAGTTTGCAATCCCATTCTTCCCAGGTACCCTGAGCAGCTCTACAAAGTGGGCTCAATATTTCCAAAAGGTCGGGGTTTCTTCCCTCCCTCATCCCTTCCCCAAGTACACAAAATCTATTGTTGTTCCACAGCCAAAAACCGTGATTTTGAAAATGGTCATGACACTGAAAAACAATTCCACCCACCACAGGAATCTGTTTGATATTACCCATATTTAGTTCTAAGTGAAAGGTAATTTTCCTTCACGAATCTTTTACGCTGCTCAGTACACTATTTAATTTCTCTGATGATTCTCTTATCTAGAGAAGGAATACACAATTTTGCTAGTTATCATTCTTACACTTCCCATAAACTTAAACTGGCTCTTAGACTTACAGGTGCCAGGTGTTCAGCTGCTTCTCAAAGCAACCCAGAATTTGGAGATCACATTAGGGTCCAAAGCGTAACTAAGATTGGCAAACTCCCTCTGTGTCCACTTATTTGTGATTGAGTAGGAAAAGCTACGGAACCACAAGTAACATATGAAATCATTATTAATTATGGCAAAGCAGTTCTTCTGTGTAGATATGTGCACTTACCTTCTCTCACAGCTATTCATGTAGCACCAAGGAGTTAGATCTGGTTCTGTGTTAGACTTGCCTAGTATTTGGATGGGTTATCAGGTGATCTGCATGTCAGTATTATAATCTCTAGAACCGTAGAAGAGATCATACCGTCAGATGTTTAGAAGACCAGTGGGGTCCATTAAAACATCGAAACACTCCCTGAAAGAGGAAGGCAGTGGTTACAGGCCACCTCGTACGGACTGCACCATTAAATAATTGTATCTAATTCATTTCAGATGCTTTGCACCTCTTAGTCAAAAACTTCCTCAGAAGAACAAATTATTTTCCTTTTTCTTTTGCCTTTCTTATCAATTAAAGATTTCTTCCTGAAATCAAAAATTACAAAATCACATTTAAGAAGTGATCTAGGAGCTGGAGATATAGCTCAGTAGCACAAGCACCTACCTGGCAAGCGCAAGGTCCTGACTTCGATTCCCGGTACCGAAAAAAAAAAAAAAAACAAACAAGTGATCAGCTCTAAGAAATGACATGAACTCTTTGTACGTGTTTGTGTGTGTGTGTGTGTGTAAATACTACCTTTAAAATCTGTCAAGAAATAGTCTTAAGGGTCTGAGGAGGAAAAGGCTTACCACCAACATCAGTTATGGCCTTCTAGAGAAAGGATCTCAACGTCTAGGGGAAGAAAGGTAGCCAAGATGTCACTATGTCGTACAGCAGAGCTATGACCAATGGCGGCCCACAGAGTCAAGTTTCAGTTTCATGTGAGAACAAACTTTCTGACTTCCAGGACTCTGCAATCACACCATTTTCTGTTTGGGGAAAGAGTGCACCACGCACTTTGGAGGAGAAGTTGGACAAAGACGACTGAGGCTGTTGGAGAGGATGGGGGGAAACTAGAAGCTCTTCCTGCACACAAGGGAAGGTACAAAGCACCCCACAAAAGCAGGTAGGTTTCCTTGATACAACAGCAGCCCGGGCTGAAAACTAAACCAAATTCAGATGAACTACAGGGAGTGGAAAGTCGTCCTCATCTCTACCACCACCATTCGTTTGCAATGAGAACAAAGCCCACGTCTTTGTCACTCGTATTCTGAATGCTACAGGACGGTTAAGGAGGAATAAGCCTTAAGCAACTCTCAAAATGTATCGCCTGGTATTTATATAATAGAGTAACTTTTTCAAGAAAGAACCTCACTAATTAACATTCCTTGTGATTTATAATTTCTGACAATTCAAAGACCACTTTGTCTATGTCTCTGCAGTTTCCTTTTCTGTTATCTACAGAGAAGAGATTGATTAAGCAAATTTATGAGGTAAACAAGGAGCAAGTGGGAGAGCGTTCCAATTTACTTAAGACAACAAATTGTTTTCAAACATATTTACAATGGCCCGACTGCATACAAACAGCATTAATTATAAACAATCCTTATCTATTCTTTCTACTAGGTCTAGCAGGGTGTCTATTTGTCATATATCGGTAGCCTCCCTGCTGCTAGCAAAACACAAAGCTTTCCCTTAAAACATCCCTAGGTTCTGATCTGCCATTCCCAGTAAGCATCTCAGTTATTGTATATTAGAAAGATTATGCTTTCTCACAAATGTTGGCACAATGAGGCGTACTTCTTCTGTAAGAAAAGATACTTTCTGCTATAAAATTAGTCCCAGAAGAAAAATGTTAGCAGTTTCACTGGGGTGTATATTCAAGCATTTCTAAGTATGCTGCTTTTGTAATGAGAATACAGACTAGGTTATTAACCAACTATCAAGATCTAAAATAAGTCTAAGTCCTTCCTGTAAGTATGTACAGAAGAGAGTCTGAATTTGTGAGTATAGACATATGTGTATGTGTCTAAAAGGACTATTCTTATCAGTCATCCACCAGGCATCCATTAAATGCCTTTTTGTATATCAGGCATTCCAAGATATTTGCGATGCACTGTTAAAAACAAACTGAGTAACCAATTTGAAGATACCAATGCATAATACAACAGCCGCTGTTAATTTCCTATCACCTTGTTTGAAATTCTGTATTGTTTTTATTGTTTTTGTGTTGTTTTGTGTATGTCTTTGTGTTTGTTAATTTGTTTTTGTTCTTTTCTCTTTAAAAAAAAAAAACTGGAATTGGACAAAAATTCCTGTATTGAAAGAACATTCAGTTAGAGAAGGGAAATGGTGATCTTAATAAACAGGAACCTGCTTTGCAATACAGACAGCGTTGAACCAGAAGAGGGTTCTCCCTAATGTTAAGGATCTGGGTGGGAAGCAGGTGGCAGTTTGGAAAAGTGTGTCCCAACAAAGAAGCTAGCATTCGAGCAAAGATTGGGAGTCAAGGGGAAATTTCAGTGAGTGCTGATGCACAGCAGGAGAGGCACCCATAGAGGACACAGGCAACTCTACCTTTGCCAGCAGACTCAGCCCCAGTCAAGGAGCCAGCGTGGGGACATGAAGGAGAGAAAGGAGAATAGGAAGGAATGAGGTCAGAGGTAAGGGAGGCAGGGACCTTGGGAGAGGAGCAGTGGTCAGACCTTGACTTTCTGAGACTTAGACGGGTGAACAGCCAAGCCAGATGGCCTGGCAACTAGCATACGCATAAGCAAAGATCATAACTAAATACATTTAGTATACATTCCATAAGGGGTCTCAGAGGCAAGGTCATTGCCCTGTTTGGCAGATGACTAAATGGCAATGCCAAAATTCTGTGATTTTCCAGAATCTAAGATGTCAGTTATAGATAAACCAGTCAGTGCCCAGCCACTTACCATTTTTTAACAGAGATGTAGACCCGGTGTGCCACCGTCCAATGGTGTGACAAGCTGTTGGTCAGGAAGTGAGTGAAGTGGGAACAGGCCCCATGCATGACTGCAGCGGCTGGCAAGCTGCGAGCAGCTTCGATTCCGTGCAGGAGGAAGCAGTAGGTTTCTCTAAAATGCCCATGCGCCTGCTGTTAGAGGACCCCAAACGGATGATTTTTAGAGCTGTGTCACAACGGCTGAGCCTGCAAGTGTGGCTTCACATCTTGGTACTCAGTTCCCTTGGAGCAGCGCTGTGACAGCTGCCGTCCAAATGACTTCTGCAGTTCCTACGTCATGCTGCATGCAGAGTACCCAAGATCAACGCAGGCTGTCCTTACTTACCTGTGGGTTTCCTCGTCCACAGCCCACTGAGGATGCTTTTCCAAGGGTCAGCATCCTGACGAGAACAACACCCTCTCCCAAGAGGTGCCCTGGACCTGAAAGAGACTGAGTCTCCCTCTGTGCCTGCGACAAGCTCCGATGCATCTGCTCTGCTGTGTCATCTCTGTGGTGACACGATTCTGAACCCACACGAAAGCCATTGCTGGGAGACTGTCCCCTTGCTCTGAAACAGAATCTGCAATGAAATGTATCTTCTTATCCAGACGACATCAAATCAGTGACTCCCTCTGACCACTGCTGTGCCTGCTTGAACCCGGATGGGATCTGTGAGCCTCGCGTCTTGAGGACAACCTTCCCGGCTTTCGGACACCCTGCTTAATGGGTTCGAATGAGCTGGCTCTTGCTAAGTCTTCAAAGTCATAAATTATTCATTGCCACTTCCTTTCAAAGGTGTTTTAAGAGGCCCATAGGGGCAGGCAAGTCAGAAAAAGAGAACTCTTTAACAAACAGAGGCCAATCACCTTCTCCTTGATGTAGAAGGAAAGACCTACAGGCTGTTAAAAGGGCCTCCCTCTGCTTAATAGAGTATT